AAAATATCAAAAGAAAATTCTTGAAGTGGGTCAAATAATTGCCCTTGTTATCATCCATGAAGATTTCCAGACTAGTTCCACTGACAGAATAACAATTTTTTAGTTTGCATATGTTTGCCGATGCTTCACAGGGATCATATGCAAGTGCAGTATATTTGATAAGTCAAAATAAAGTAGTCAAAGTGACTACTGCAAGCCAAAGCATGAGTAGCTCCATTGAAAAAAGTATACCACGACTTGAATTGCTTGCTTGTCTTATTGGAGTGCGATTAGCCTCATTTGTCAGCAACCTTAAGATCAAAATTTCAAAGGAATATTACTGGACCGATTCTTCAACAGCACTATTCTGAATAAAGAGTGTAGAAGTTTGGAGCACTTTTGTAAATAACAGAGTTTCCGAAATCAGAATTTATCGAACCATGAAAATTGGTACCGTGCACCAGGTGCAGAAAACTCAGCCAATATGCCAACAAGAGGATGTTTTGTAAAGAAACTTAATCAAGATGGTCTGAGGGCCCACCTTGGTTGGCAGTGCTGGAAGAATGCCCTCATTCTATCCCAATTGATAATAAAGAAGAGGTTAACACTGAAAAAAGTAAAGCAGTTATAGTTTCATTAATCACGATTCTTTGCCTATTTTTCAAAGTACAAGAAAATACTGAGAATGACTGGGTGGATAAACAGATTCATAGGAAATACCCAAAAGAGGAAAGAAGAAAGAGAAGCAGGAGAGTTAAAATTTTATCAGTTGACAGGAGCTGAGAAATCTATTGTGAAGATTATTCAACATGATTCTTTTTTATCTGACGATATTGAGAAGCTGAAGTCAATTAGTGTGTTCAAGTCTCGTACAGGAAAGACATTAGTAATGTACCTATAGGAAGTTTTTTTTTTATTAGCAACATTTCTCAAGCTTTTTCATGTAGGGACCATGTTTAGGGATTATAATGCTCTGTGGTCCACCTTACTGTTTGTCCCCTTCAAAAACAATTTTTAGCACATGTTGTTACTAGTATACTTGTATTTTTTAAAATGCAGTTCATTAAAATTAATTTAATATTTTTATATTGAGTTACTAGAAAAAGGCATATGTGTTCTATATTTAGATGTATGCTCTAAGCTTGATTCAAAGATGTCATTCATCTTGTTCAAAGATGATAGAGGCATTTTACATGTCAAGTCTAGGTTGACTAAAAGAAAAGACCATAAAAATTTTATTTATCCGATGTTACTTCTGAAGAATCATTAAACTGTAGACAAACTGATAATTGATAAACATCTATCTGTGTCTCGTGCAGAAATTCACGTTTGTAGACGTTTTGGATCCTGAAAAGCAGAGCTACAATTTAAAAAGCTTTATATGCATGTGTCAGATGCAGGAGACGTGGAAATAAATGTGTACGGACTGTGCCTGCTACTCTACCAGAAAACAGAGTTAGAGATGCTTGTGTTCATTGTTGCAGTTGACTTATCTGGCCCATTAATTTTAAAGGATAAAAGAAAAGCTTGGATTTTACTTTTCACCTGTGCGGTTTTCAGGGCAGTTTCATTTGTCCCTTTCAACTCAAGAATTTTTACTTGGCCTTAGAAGATTTATTGCCCATAGAGGGAGGCCATCAATAATTTATAGCGACAAAAGAAGCAATTTTATTGGATGCAGTAATCTCTTGAAATAAATTAATTTGAATACCCTCAGTATAGAAGCCGTCACAAACAAGGTCGACTGAAAGTTCAGTCCACCCGCAGCACCATGGTGGGGTGGCTTTGGGGAATGACTTGTTCAAATGATTAAGAAGCTTTTGTATCAAATCCTAGGAAATTGGTGTCTGAATTATGAAGAACTGATGAGTATGCTAGAGGCCCGGTGGCGCAGTGGCTAGCGCATCACGCAGCAGTACCACAGGTCCGGGGTTCGATTTCCGAGCTGGGCAAGGTCGACACAGCCTTTCATCCCTTGATCTCCATCACTTGGATCGATAAAATGAGTATCAAGTTCACTGGGGGACTAATTACTGGGGGTACTGCGACCAAGCTGACCACTTATTCAAGGCATATGTTTATGCACCCCGGGGCCCACGGTCAAGAAAGCAGATATTCGGGCACCACAGGCCTTGGCCCTATAGGGCTCTTACGCCACTGAGTTTAGTTTTTTTTTAGATGAGTGTGCTGTGCGACTGCGAAGCAACTTTAAATGCCAGAACACTAACTTATATGTCAGAGGACTCTGATGATCTCATCCCTTTGACACCATCCTTATTTTTAGGTGAAATTCCAGTTTTTGAGTTCCTGACTTGGATCACTTTGATAAAGTTGATTTCAACAAGAGACTGAGACATCTACAGAATTTACAAAAGCTCTTGAGAAAAAGATTTAGAAATGAATATCTCAGCCTGCTAATGTAATGTCCATCTACAGTGCCAATTTCTCAAGAGATCAAAATTGAGGACATAGTTCTCATCGAATGTGATGACAAATGCAAGGTGCTGTGGTTTCTAGCAAAAATGATTGAGCTATATTCAGGAAAAGACTGCAGCATTCGAGTAGTTGGTGTAGAAACTATGTTTGGAGAAATAGTTCGACCAATCCAAAGAACATTCCCAGTCAAAATACCTTATTTTTGGAGTCAGGTGAAGCAAATAAAACTGAGATGCAGGGTGAAGACAGTTTAGTCTCAAAATTTCCAAAGAATAGAATAATATAGCTCTAGATTTATCAAAGGACATTAAGAGTGTTGTGACTAGAAGTGGATGATAAATTAAAATCCCACCCAGATTTCTTACATGAACACTACTTCAGTCATTTTTAGTATAGAAATTTAAGAACTTTCCTTTTTATTTACTATTTAACCCTGGTATTTGTATGGAGAGTATTTTTTATATTTGTTTTTATTGATTAAGTGTTATGTCATCAATCAAAAGGTGGGAGTATTGTTAGAACCAAGCCTCAGTTGTTATCTTTTATTCATATTTTGATATTGTAAGAGTGGCAACCATCTGATATTTATTGTAGTTTGTTGTTGATCTCTGGATTTTGAAAATAAACATGATGATTTGAAATATTAGATGTAAAATTATTTTAAGTTTTTAGGCAAAAGGAGGAGAGTTAGTTTGGCAAGTCTCTTACAGAAAGGACATTAGTAATGTACCTATAGGAAGATTTTTTTTGGCAACATTTCTCAAGCTTTTTCAAGTAGGGACCATGTTTAGGGATTATAATGCTCTGTGGTCCACCTTACTGTTTGTCCCCTTCAAAAACAATTTTTAGCACATGTTGTTACTAGTATACTTGTATTTTTTAAAATGCAGTTCATTAAAATTAATTTAATATTTTTATATTGAGTTACTAGAAAAAGGCATATCTGTTCTATATTTGGATGTATGCTGTAAGCTTAAATCTAAGATCAGCACACACATCAATTCAGTTTCGCAGGGTTAACGATCAAAACCCTAGTTAACACAAATACATAGAAGCAACCTGAATTATAATTTAAAGGAACCTGAGTACAATTCTGTATATTATATTTTGATTGAGGTTCACATATTAACCATATCTTCTGCCTGGAATTTGGTTTTAACTCTGGTATAATTAGAGTATAATTAGAGTGTTTATTTAACTGTTTGTTCATTCAGCAAATTTGTTATTTTTAAGATCACAATTTAAATGATGATGAACCCATGAAAATTGATTATATTTGTCTCTTATAAATAATCGGTTTTGAAATGCAGACATACGCAATTGCATTATTCTTTTCCAATAAAGATATAATTTCCTATTGAAAAGACTCTAAAGCTGGAAATGGTGAAAAATTTATTTATTTTAACTAATTCACAAACCAAGTTTCCTCTCAAATGCTTTGCTTTCTCATGGGCATTTACGAACAGTCAAAGAATTACCTTGAAGACAGAGATTTAATTCATTTAGTTTTGAGAATATATGTGAAAGATATGTCTGTGTATTTAGCCACATCAAGTTTCAAAGATCATCGCAGAGCACTGTTTGAGAAACATAGTTTTCAGGATCTCAAAATTCCTTTACCTTCAAATTCCTTCCTCAAAATTTCTTTCCTTTTTATTCCTTCACCTAAACTTAAGGAAATTGCCTTTTTTTAATTAAACCAAATAGATTTTAAAAATTTAGCTCACAGAATTCAGTATTCCTTCACCTAAAGTGTATGAAATTACCTTTTTCAATTAACCAAGTAGATTTTAAAAATTTAGTGTTTAACTGAATATCTGCAAAATATTTTCCTAGTAGAAATATAAGGTATGTTAAGGGAAATATATACCTCTATTCACAGTGAATTAGCAAATGATCTTCAGCAAATGTACGATTTTATTCTGATGTGTAATTTTCAGATGATATTCATTGTTACATTATGCTGATGAATGAACTGTTTATACATTATCTGCATAATATAGTAAAATCTCTGTCCTGTCACTTTTGAGGACAAGGTTGATCATCCTAGCATAGTTTTATTTCAGGAATTGAGTAAATCAAGGGAAATGGAAGATTTTAAAAAGGTAGGCGAGGATATAACTTACTTCTGCTGAAAATGTACCCGAGTTTGTAGCTGAAGTTTTAGAAGCAAAATATTTTTTTTGCTGTAGTTTTAAAATTGGATAGCTGTTATGAAAGTGATCCACTAAAATCACTGATTTGAGGAAAAGTCATGAAAATGCAGATTTTATCTATAGACAACGTAGCTGAAAAGAATATGATATAGTGTTGAGGGGGAAAATTCACAAGTAGCAAGAGCTGAATCAAGAGCTACTCTAAAATGAATAAAAATCAAGAGCTACTCTAAAATAAGTAAAAATCATAAGTAAATAAATAAAATACTCTTTTCTATCTGTAGTAGATTTTTTTTTAACTTAGAAATTAAAATGTTTTTGACTCTGCATTAGAATTCCCCTACTTGATATTTCTGAGAATGTCATAGTTTCAAGGGTTTGAGTGCATAGGCTGTTTTGTAATGTTTATATTATATTTCCTTTTTCTAGATGGGCAAATTCGTTGCAAAGAGCTCGAGTGACTCGTTGGGGAGGTATGATATCAACTCCAGACTCAGTTTTGCAAGCCATGGTTCGTAGAGCTTTAAGTGAAAGTGGTTGTCCTCCACATGTGACTGCTGAACTTATGGAAAATGCACATGAAAGGAGATGGCCTCCTGGCTTATGTACATTAGAAACACGTCAGTCAAATCGCCGGTACTATGAAAACTATGTGTGTAAACGAATTCCAGGAAAGCAAGCTGTTGTAGTAATGGCTTTTGATAACCCACACATGAATGATGACATGGTGCTGGAACCTGGATTAGTAATGATCTTTGCCCATGGAATAGAATGAGTCTAATAATGTTGGTGGACAATCTTGCTACATTGTACTATTTTGGATTTTATGCATTAAGTGGTTTGGTGTTTATCAAATGATTAGCATTTTCTGAGATATCATTTGAAATATATAGCTTGTTTACTACAAGACTTTGTAAATTGAAATCATGACTGTAAATTTTTCAAGACTTTGTTATGAATGTGTATTAGCATTCCATGAGACTGTGGTTCCAGATGTAAATTCTATTTTTTAAATGTTGATATATAAAAGCAGTGTTGGAAGTCGTGCCATTAAGAAAAGGGAGTAAGGTTTTATTAAAAATTAAAGGTTTCACATATTTAAGTAGTAGTGCGAAACATTGAGCATTAGACTACTGTATATAAGTAGAAAATACTATTTTAAACCCCCGTTTTAGGGCATTCAGATTCAAACATCATCAGACATCAAATTATGTTATCATCATAGGTTACAAACTTCTGTGGGGATGAATATTGCATATAATTTCTGGAAAATTTAAAGGAGCATTATTTGTAAAGGGAAAATATTGGTCACTGTCTGGAGGTATTGTACTTAATATGTAATAAATATGAATTTTGGGTTGTATCATTGCTAATAATTTTTAATTTTGGACATTTCATTATTCTTGTCATACAAGATTGCTAATGTTTTGAAGGAATTGCTTTCATTTTTAAAAGTATTATTTAGTGTAAAAGTTTTAATAATTTTTCAATTTAATGTCGAAAAACTAAGTTTCATTATTAATACACCTGTTCTTGTTGTGTATTTTATTATTTTGTGCTTATAATATTTTAATTACCTGCAGGCACCATTTGATCACACCGTACCAGGGGTCGGCAACCTTTTGAGTCGGAAGAGTCAAAAATTACAATTTACAAAATTTACAAAAAAAGTTTTTAAAGAGCCACCAAATTTTTTCTTGGCTACAATAAATAGTACTCGCATAAATAAAGTTTTTTGATAAACAAAAACTAATCTATTTATTCATAAGGAAAAAATATCTATTTATTCATAAGAAAAATATCTATTTATTCATATATAAATAGTGTTTTTCACAACAAATTAGATAACATACATATGGCATTATTAGATAATTACTTATTATTTAAGTAAGAAATTAAAACAATTAAACATTTACTTACAACACTAACTTGTACTTCAATTAAAAACAATTGAGCAAACAAATTCAATGGGAGCGTTGGCTTTGCATGGTTTTAGAAAGTTTGGACAAATTTGGCTCATAACTGGTTGTTTAAGTTTCAAACACGACTGTACATTTTTATTTGTTAGTTGGCTTCTTACTGTACTTTTATTTACATTCATGCAAGAGAATGCTTGCTCGCACGAATATGTCGATCCGAAGATAGCACTCCAAATGCCAACTTCTTCACCTCACTGTAGCAATCTGGAAGACTATTCCATAAGTCGAATATGAGTGCCTCAACTCGGGGCATTTCTTTTAAAGCTGTCCACTTTTGTTGCATTACGTACATTCATTTCTGGACCTCCAACTCTCTCAACTTGCTTTTCAACTCTGTAAATTTTCCACTCCACAAAGCTTTACTTTTTAAATCGATCAATTGCATTTCTAAAGATACAGTATCAATTCCAAATGGCTCAGTGTTTTTCGTTACTATTTGTGTTGAGAGGGTTTACTATGAATGCTAGAGTGGTTTTGTTGGTTTTGAATTGCTCAAATCTGTCAGCAAATTCATCTTTAATTTTTTTGTAACTGTGCTGACGTAATTCGTGTCAACAGTTGCAATGGTTTTATCGCGATATTGCTTTAGAAATTGAAAATGAAGTAATTTACTGCTCTGAATATCTTCTGCAAAAAGAATAAATTTTTCTTCAAAACAAACCACTTCTTCTTCTAAAACATAGGCTGGGTTTCCCTTTCCTTGCAGTTTTAGATTCAGCGCATTTAATTTCGCTGCGACATCCACCATAAAGTAAAATGTTTTCAAGCCATTTGTCACTTCTCTAATTCAAGGGTAATTAATACTTTTTTCATTTAAGAAATGTATTTATTTCATTCAAGTACAAAGCAGAACGTTTCAATATCTTTCCTTTAGGAAAGGCATCGCACTTTATTGTGAAGAAGAAGGTCGGAATACTGAGTCCCATTCTTTTAAGAATTCTTAAACTGGCGGATGGTAAAGTGCTTTTGCAAGATGCTGTTAACAATCTTGATTACCAAATTCATAACCTCAACAATTTCGGCCGGAAATGTTGGGGCACAAAGCGCTTCTTGATGTATTATGCAGTGAAACGTATTTTTTCCTGTCATACTTCTGACTTCATCAGTTGCTATTGAAACAATTTTATTTAAATCGATCTTATTGTCTTCAAGGCATTTTTGCACGGCATTCGCTATATCTTCCCCTCTATTTTGTTCTGAGAGCAGTATCAATCCTATAAGTTCTTCTTTTGGATCTCGGGGAAGACACATACCTGACAATAAGGGCAACTTGTGCTGTGTCTTTTTTGTCGCAAGTCTCACCTATAGCAAATGATAAAGCAGAAGAAAGCTGAATATCTTCCACCCGCAAATATGTTACATTTGAAGACATTTTAGCTTTTCTATTTTGTACTGTTTTAGCGGATAGTGGCAAATCTGATTTTTTCAAGATTTCTCGTTTGTTTTTGAAATCGCAAAACAGTTCTTCAGATACACGTATGAAGCAATCTCTGACATACTCACCATCTGTTTTTTTTTTTTTTTTTTTTTTTTTTTTTTTAAATTTCTAATGATATTGTGAAGCTTGCCAGATTAACATTACTTGTAGATTGTGTCCAGTTACATAACATGGAACTTGATTGCTGTTGTTTGTTTTTGGATTTTGTCGACAGCTTTTTTCGTTCATCGCCGGCTGATATTTACTATCAAACTGAATATGTTTTTTAGTGAAGTGTCTCTATAGATTTGATTTCTTATTGTGTGCGAGTTTTTCGAGGCCAATGGAGACAAGTCTCAAGGTATATGAAGTTGTATATGAAAGTGAACGACTGCGTCCAATCCCGATTGAATTCTTGATGCGCTTCTTCAGCTCTCCTCTGTTTTTTTGGGGGGGATAAAATAAGTAATATTTGAGTATAGAACTAAGAGTCGCAGCTTCACATCCAAAGAGCCGCAGGTTGCCGACCCCTGCACTGTACCGATGTTCTCTAATATACTTTTTTTTCCTGCTTTTCACCATTTGCTAATTACGACTCACCAGCTCGACTAGTTTCTATTGAAAAAAATGTTATGAACTTTGTGCAGCCTCTTGACATTCTAAAAGCATTGCTTGCATGCTATACGAGTTATTCATTGGTAATAATTTGCAAATCCAATTTGTATTTGATTAGCTTATCTACCATTACTGTGCTATACTGTTGAACATGTGATTGACAATAATGGAATGCACACTGAACAAATGCTGTGATTAAATAAAGTTTTCTGTTTTGAATTTGATTTTCTTATTTATGAGCTACCTTTTCACCTGGGGGTCAAAATGTTAAATTTTTTTTTATTTTATTTTCTCTTCTCCATGGTCAATATAATGTAAGTTTCAATGAAATGACTTAACTAGAAAGGGCTCAATATAAGTCTTGAATCTAGGGTCACTTTAATTATAACCACCTTATACACTGCTTAAGTGATTTGAGAAAAAAGTGATTATTGTGTAATATAAGAATATGATGTAAATATTTGCAAGTGCTGAAGCATTTTTGAAAGATTCTCTCCCCTCTCTTTGGGTATGTGTCCTATAATTTATAAAAAGTGTGAAATAAAAGACATTCAAAAGGGAAATATGGAGCCCTGATATTTTTTAACCAATTTTTTAGTTTTGGAATGTCTTAGCAGCTGTATATATGAGTGTGTGGAACTAAATATTGTTTGAAGAATTAAAATAAAACAGTTATCGTTTTCAGACTTAAACATATCCCCAACATTGTGAACAACATTGTCGGTAGAATGCCAAGAATTGAAAGTCCACACTTGAAGCAGTTAATGAAACTCACTAATGATGAAAAGATTGTCAAGTGGTAAAGACTACTGCCAGGGTCTCATTTGTTTCCTGTTTTGGAAAATAGCTTCAAAATAGTAATATTGGTGACCATTTAGATGTAAACCAAAAGAATGGCCCATTTCTTCTGGGGCTCAGCTGAAGCATATGTGAAGTGATACAGATCTGTATGTTTATTATTGAGATTAATAATGGTTTTCACATGTAGTACAAATAAAAAGCCTAGTTAGTTTTTACTTTAGTATTAAATTTTAAGTGGCTTGGCATTTATGAAATGAATAAAATTTTGCAAAGTAATTTAAAACATGTAGCATGTCTACTACAAAATGTTAGGAACCAGAATTAAAACAAAATTTTTAAAATTTTAATTTATGTGTAATAATTTTTTTTTCGAAAATCATCCTATTTTTAAATGTTGTCAAGTTAAAAAAGGAGCTGAATGTAATGAGATTTTAAAGAGGAAGGATTGGATTTCGTGTGATTAATTTGAATCCTAGACATTTATCTACGGAGAAAAAAAATTCCAGTCATTACTTTTGAGCACATATGTGAAATCTTTAAGTTCAGCTGTATTGGGATGTTTGTCAAATTGATATTGGTCATCATCCCTTGTTATTAGAATGTTCATGTCAAAACACTGATGATTTATATTTTATACCTGACCAATATTAGAATATAATTTCAAGAATTTATTGTTAGAAAGGAACTAAGCAGTATTACAGGTAGTTTATAAATGCGATTGTTTTCTTATTGCCAATTTAGTTTGTATGTCTAGAAAGTATAAATATTTTTAAAGAGCTAATTACTTTTTATATTTCATAAAATTATTTGGAATGTGAAGTCCAAAAATTAAAAATTAACTTGTTTATTTTTGTCTGGTTAATGACTTTAGATTAGTTGGTCAAAACAGTGCAAAAATGAAATTTTGGGGTATCCAAAACTTTATTACTGAATTTGAAATGCATTATGTTTGTAATCATCTTTCTTTTCTAAATTTTTTTTACCGTATGGTTTTGTATATATGGTTTTAATTTGTAATTTCTTTTATTGTCACAATGGAATGTATTTCACTGTGTAAATTTTGGAATTAAAACAATTTTTCCAGATGTTGAAACATTATTTTTGACAGGTATGCTAATTTTAAACCAGAAATTCATATTATTAGAAGTAATAGTATAATACTAAATCACATAAGTTTAGATTATTTCCTTCACTTTTTGAAGACTGTTCAATATTGAGCTGGTCATTTAGGCATTTTTATTATGTGCAAGGTAATTAAAAAATAGCTGATGAAAATATAAAAGCAGGTAGAGGGGACTGAAATAGGCAGATTTTTGTAATGGAATATGTGCAGAAATGGTATGTTGAAGTGGTTTAAGGCACTGTTGAGTGGTAAATCAAAGTGATTTCCTGACTTAAATCATTTCCTGTATATATTTTGAATGTTATGCATCACTATATAAACCTAAATCTTGCCAACTTGAATTTTATCCATGGAGCTGTAGACAGAGCAGTTTCTCAATGTGGGTACTCCGGAATCGTTCACTGTACTTCCTTTTGAATAGTTACTCCATTTTATTTTTTTCCTCATAGATAAGTTCATGTCAGCAAGCTCTGTATTCATGTACATAGATTTTGAATGCACAGCATTTGAAATCTGCTTTGGGAATAATGATTAACACAAGGAAACTGCTTTTATATTCTGTGTAACAGCTCCTTTTATCACCTCAACATGCCATTAGCATGAATAACCTTTATTTTAGTTTTAAGTGTGAATCCTTTGAAGGGATTTTTAGTGAGTTCTCTGTTACTAACCCCCTGAGTGGCACAGGTTTTTGAATTTGTCATGAAGGACCTGTATTTATGCAGCATTTATTAGTTAAATTTATATAATTGCTTATTTTAACCTCTATTTTCATAAACTTACATCCATTGCGATTACATGTACATTATTAAAGAAAGTAAAATATCAAAATCTCGTGACCGGATAAAGCTGGTCATGCTGCTCAGAGAGTTAATAAGTAAATCTAAATTGTTATGAAGTATTCAACATAATATGCATTAGTAGTAGACCATGGGTAATTAAGTAAACTAATTTCTTTTGTGCTTGCAACAGGAAAAATGTGTTTAATGTCCTCTCGGAGCATTAATTTGGTCATGGATTATATGGCCTAATTTTTAATGCTTCCAATTCTATGTAGTCTACAGCATATTTTATGTCGTGACAATTTGTAATTCAAGTATTACTTTATAGAGTTGTACTTGATCAGGAACTATTAACCCATTCAGACATGAAGTGAATTATTATTCTAAGTAACTAGAAGTCATAGACAAGTTTTAATAACCCTTTTTATAAAGCAAAAATTAACATCAATGCAGGTGCTTGTACTAACAAAATCAACCACAACTCATAGTGTTGCAAATAAAGTAAAAATCAATTTCAATTTAAAACGTAGAATAGTAGTCAAAATCTACACAATTAATTTTAATATAAACTGGCACAAAATTTCTAACTAGCATATCAAATTCAACTGTTGGCAGCAATAACGCAAAGCTAAATAAGTACAACTTATCAGAGGTGGCAGAACCAATGTATTGTGACCATGTGAAAGGCAGAATCACGCTGTCTTACATTACAGAAACCTCGTTTAAAAAACTCTCTAACTAATTTGCATTTTGATGATGTAATGGAAAGAAGTTATAGTAAAAGTTGAAATTATAAATAACTGGTTAATTTAAATAACTATGCAACGTGTGAAGTACAATTGCATGAGCAACAAGATGACCACTCTTCTACTCTGCGAGCAGGTACCATATCTAGAATTGTAAATTAATTTTTCTTAATGTATTTGATTTACAACTACTACAATTAGCATTTTTTACAGTGACTGATAATTATATTGACTGTTGCTTTACTCTAACTACCCCCCTGTGCAAAATTAAA